TACAGTAGAACTCCTGCTAAATATGGCATTCATGTTATCTAGCTAGCAACACTTCATGTGTTATCATGGGTTGTTCATGTTAGTTTTTAACAGATTACCTTGAGATAAAACTGATGTAAGTTAAAACTCACAGTCATCTAAACGTTAGGCAGCAGATGGAAAATATTGTTTGCCTCTGTTAAAATCTGTAGGTTTTGTCTTTCTAGTGTGATTTTGTTTAACAGGCAACTAACTTTATAATTTGCCTTAAACTTTACTGATGTTATAAAATTCAGGAGCTTAATATGTAAAAAAAAAGAATAAAAGTTGTTATTTTTAGCATCAAAAGTGGGTTAACCTTTTTGGTAAAATATTTATTTAAGATAAATTGGTTAAATTTGTCACCAAATGTGATATTCATAATCTCCCACATGATGGATTTCAAAAACCTTTGTAGGTAACATTTTTCATTGGGTGTTGAAAAAGTCAAAACTTAAAAAATAAATACATAAAAAAAAGCCCATGGTTATCAGAAAAGCTAAATGCATTCAGACAGCTAATATTTTTTTCCATTTTGATGTAAATACAAAATTAAGAAAGTGATACATTTCTGAAGAGATTCTCAAATGGAATATCTAGAAAACATGCTAATTGTAGCATTTAGCTCTAGCCTAGCATAAAGGTGGTCCATTTATAAACATTTTACTCAACCTAAAATGATTTAATCAATAAAATATTGTTACAGTTTAATACAATTTTAATCCATGCTTAATGGTCTTATCATGATAAAGTCTGAAAGTTATCTTTTCACTCAGTTGTGGCTAACGCTCTTTCACTAAATACAGTTTTTGCCTGTACACATTTTTGAAAGACTGAGAAAGACTTTGATGGAGTTTGTAAAATGACTTTGAGGAGTGGTGTGAATGACTGAGAGAAATCAATCCCTTGGATAAAGTTTTGGAGAGAAACACGAGTTGATCAATTTAAAAAAAAAAAGGCACCTTTTTGAAGTCAATACACTGTCCTTTTCAGCAAAGGCAAACCTATGAACAAAGGACCCTGCTGTCTCTTTTGAATGCATATTGGATTGACCGCAGGTTGACGTAAAACTCTTCAAAGGAGGAAACAGGGATGAGGGGGGGCTTGTGTACACAAACTAAGCTTTACCACTTCAGTTAGACAGAGGTACGGTGTGGTTTCAGGGTTCATTTTTATGTAAGTTTGTAAGTTTCTCCACAGACGTTATTTAGTAAGAAATACCTTCCATTTTGGAAATATTAGGAATTATTGAGAGAAGCAATAAAGAAGCCTGAATCATCTGTAGGGATAGAAAACATTTCAGTGTGGCTAGAGGTTAATAATAAAAATGTTATCTTAAACATGCTGCTGTAAAACTTGTGATGCCGAACAAAGTTACGAATGGTAATTTATTGATTGAACATAGAATTAAAGGGTTATAATTTTCCATTTTGAAAAATTATTTTGACAGATTTTGATACAGAGCAGTAATGGTCCAGGAGTTTACCCAGGCTGGACTGAATAAGATTGCTGGCTTTATTTTCCATGTTAGAGTTTGGTTATAAACCTAAATGTCTACAAAACTGTCTGATATACAGTAACTATGAAGTTTTTTATATTATACAGATATATGGTCCTTAATTTCAGTAACTCTGGCTTTACCTTTCCCAGCAAGTTGACATTTTTCATCTTTGAAGGATCTGAAAGACTCATTTAGCAGCAGTTGACAGTACGTATAATCCCACTCGGTCACCTCCTTAGTGATTGTTCTATTTTAATTTTTACCCCAGGTTAATTGTAGGTGCTAAGAACTGCTTGGTTAGCTATACAACGGTTCATTTGGGTTAGAGTTTCCCTTTCATGGCATTAAGAATACGTGTTAAAAAATACCCAAGGGTCATTTATAACTGTCCATGTTGTCCATACGTACAAAGTTAGTTGTAAAGTAACAGTGTAAAATGTAAGTTACTGTAACAGTGACTGAAAAGGTGTCACTAGTGTTGACAAAATTTCAATATTAGAAGGAGTAGAAGGGACAAACGCTGTCCAAACCCACCTAACCCTGTATGATAAAGCAATTGTCCCCTTTGTGATTAATCAATTTTTTTGGGAAGCAAAGTTCAATTTCACCAGCTACACTCAGGCCCTGTTGAATGAAAGAGAAATAAGCTAAAGGATCTCAAAAAGCAACACATCAAGCGACTATCTAAAGAAACAGCTGAGAAACAAAGTCACTGACATCGATCAGTCTGGAAAGGTTTATGAAAAGTAAACAAACAATAAAATAAAGGTTTTGGAGTGGACTATCAAATTACAGACTTAAATCTGAATGAGACGCTTTAGCATGACTTCAAACATGCTGTTCGTGATTTAAAAAAAAAAAAAAAAGCTCCAGTGTGGCTGAATTAAAACAATACTTCAAAGAAAAGGGAGCCAAAATTCCTCTATGGTGATGTAAAAGACTCATTGCCAGTTATAGCAAACACCTGATTGCAGTTCCTCCTGCCAAGTGCAGCAGAACCAGTTATTACGTTTAGAGAGCAATTACTTTTTCACACAGGCCCAGGTAGGCTTGGATTAAATGAATGAAATCAGCATTAAGAAACTGCATACTCAGGTTATCTTTGACAAATATTAAAAATACGTTTGATATGACATATCAAAACTACAAGGAATAAGAAATGGGGCAAGTACTCATTCACAGTATGTATGTTTGACATGTTTAATACAACAGGACAGATAATACAGAAATGATAGTAGTGTTTTTTTTGTTTTGTTTTTACACATTTCACTTTTAGTAAAGCTAATGCTGCTTTCGAGCCATTAAAACTCCTCATGCACCCCCTTAAGCCTTGGCTTTACTTTGGCCACTGTGTATTACCAGAGGTTTGACACTAAGTAATCAAATTACAATTGCTAAATCATTATCTTTTGAGGGGTTGCATGCTAGCATTGTCATTGTAAGCACATTTAACTTCTTATGCTAACACTAGCATTTATTTTATAACTCGCTCATCTTTTTAGACATTCCTGTCTACTTAGGGTAAGATCTTGTTTTTTTTCCCCTTTTCTGCAAAAAGACCAAAAGTGACAAGTAAAGCAGCAATGGCGTCCAGGTGAACTTTCAGTTTCCTCTTCCTGCTTCCTGCCGTGTGACTCCAGCTCTCAGCTGGAGCGGCGTTTCCATACACGCGGTGCTGGTCTCCCAAAATCCTCTTACTCCCCCCCTCCACACACACACACACATCCTCACATAGTTATACACAGCTGAACACGCTCACACACAGAAACACTCATGCTCACACTCACAGACACACACAGCGTGGATTTGTTTTCTCTGTGATGAGAGGGATTATGGGATAAAGGAGACGAGGCCACAGCAGTTTAGTTCAGGTTGGACCAAAGCTGCTCTCAGCAGCAGCAGCACCAGCAGCAGCACAATGACAAATAGATGAATGTCTGGCTGCACACTGGAGATCTGCACAGCCGTTAACGCCACGGCCAGTGTGTCTTCTGGGTGCAAGAGCTTCTGATTGGGATTCTAAAGTGGAGAGTGGATATGTTTTTCTTCCAGATGACTGAAGATCAGCAGAAACAGAAGCATCTAAGCGTAATCCATGGAAGGAAACTGAATAGAGAGGAGTGGAACTCAAAAGCCGGAAAATGTTGAAATGGATCTGTTGCTTCTAAGGATAACTCCAAAATCAGCTGTTCATCTTTTTAAGCTCTGCAAAATGCAAAATATTTGTCTGGAGACAGCTGAAACATCCCTTTTAGACTTTATTTAAGGCCATCATACACTTTGAGTCAAAGGACAGTTTTCTGTTTCGTATACAGCACGCTATGATATGACTGACTGATGTATTCAACCTATCAAGAGCACAATATGGGAATGGATTGGCTGGATTCGTACGGCGATGACGTCCTCATCTAGTATGCAATTTCACCTGCTTTAAAAATGTGTGTCAGATGGTGACTGAACAGCTTGCCTCAGTCACTTTTGAGAAAAGCAAGAACGGGAATATTAAATGTGCAGAAAGCACTGGAGAATCAGCTGTTCGATCAAATACGAGTGTGCATTTTGCCACTGAAATGCCGCTAAGACTCTAATTCTTACCGTAGCTATGCATTGACTTGCTCCGGCAGGCATAAACTTCTACTGGTTTGTGGCAGAGGGAGTAGTCTAAACAAAATAAATCAAACAGTAAAGATGAGCACATGCAGATGCTGCACATTATTTCCGTGGAGAGTTAGGGGATGGGTGCTTAATGATCTGTACGCGATTAGTCACTGTAGCATGTGAGACTTACTGTAAATTTTTATGAGTCACTAGGATGATACATCCAGTTCTCATCATTTTCTTTTCTGGTATAATTCCCACTGAGGTGCCACAGTGGCTCTTCTCCCATCTCTTCCCCTTTGACTCCGTGGACTCCCACCCTCCTGAAATCCATAATGACATTGTTAGCTTAATCTGCAATAAGAGAATCAGCTGTCACATCGGTGTGTTCCCTCACCGCGTGCGTACCGTTCTGCTGAGCGACCACCGCGGAGCCGCTCGTGCGTGCAGTCATCGATTGCCTATCTGCGGAGTCGATGAGCTGTTATTTGACTGCGGTCGATTGCACTAAGCAGTGCGATCTCACACCGGGAGACAAGAAGTCTTACTAATTGGAATGAGCAAAAATCAAACTAGAGGTGCACAAAGTGTCTCTGAGAGTTTATTTTGAATATACTAGTTTTATTTAAATGCTGTATGATGATTGCATTTTCCAAATGGAGTAAAATCTGGGTAAAACTGTTACACTGTAGTCTTGAAATCCAGTAATGCTATCGATCTTACCAGGTTTTCACTGTCTCGATTAAAGATGACGGTCGCTGTTTGTCTTTATTACCCAAAACAATCGATACTTAATCGAACAGTTGTTTTTAGTCTGGAATACATTATTTGCTTTAATTGTCTCTTAAAATGTGCTTGCTTTTCCTTTGCTCCATTTCTTTAGCCATAAGAACAAAACATCAGGCTGGCCGCCTCCTGGCCCAGGCTCCTGGGGAGGACTGCAGGGGCCCCCATACAGTTGGGACAGCATGAACAGCGCCAGGGAGGGACGGGAATGCCTCACCAAGTATGTATGATGATAAGCACTGGCATGCATGTGTTTAAATGTGTGGTGTCATTCTGTTTATGCACAGTTATGCACTCATGCAATAATTGTGCATAAATTATTGCATGAGTGCATCACATGTGGATGCATCATGGAAAAACTACAGTATATGAACCATAAGTGTGAAAAAAGTCATGTTCAGTGAAGTCAGTTTTAGAGTAGTTTGCCAAGAGTTGTGAACAGAATCATTAATATAAAAAAAACATCCCAATTGCGAGAAAAAAAAACTAGTATGTGGAATTTATACAGGGTGGGCCATTTATATGGATACACTGTAATAAAATGGGAATGGTTGGTGATATTAAAGTCCTGTTTGTGGTACATTAGTATATGTGAGGGGGCAAACTCCTCAAGATGGGTGGTGACCATGATGGCCATTTAGAAGTCGGCCATCTTGGATACAACTTTTGTTTTTTCAATAGGAAGAGGGCCATGTGACACATCAAACTTATTGGTAATGTCACAAGAAAAACAATGATGTGCTTGGTTTCAACGTAACTTTATTCTTTTATGAGTTATTTACAAGTTTCTGACCACTTATAAAATGTGTTCAATGTGCTGCCCATTGTGTTGGAATATCAATGCAATCCTCTTCTCCCACTCTTCACACATTAATAGCAACATCGCAGGAGAAATGCCAGCACAGGCATCCAGTGTCCGTAGTTTCAGGTGCTGCACATCTCGTATCTTCTCACCATAGACAATTGCCTTCAGATGACCCCAATGATAAAAGTCTAAGGGGGTCAGATCGGGAGACCTTGGGGGCCATTCAACTGGCCCA